TTACCAGATGTTTGAAGTCACTTAGAGAGGTCAAAGGTCGAGAGCTTCAGATCTTTTTACAAGATATTCCAGGAAACAGGAGCGGAGTAGGAGAAGGTCCTTTTGTCTAGTTCAGTCCTCACTGAGGGAACACTGCAGGTAACACAGTTACTAATGGAAGATCAGCCACTTCACTTAATAACCAAACTTCTACAAATCAAATCCCTCCTACAAGTCAATCCTCAGTTAATCACAGCTTCTCTTTTTCTCCATTCTCAGTCAGTGAGGTCAATAAACTGTTAAAAGATCTTGATCCTAAAAAATCTGCAGGTCCAGATGAACTTCCACCTTATTTCTTAAGGCTGGCTGCTCATATCATCACAGTCCCTGTGACCCACATCTTCAATCTCTCCATAAGACAAAACTCCATCCAGACACTTGAAAACAGCCTTTGTTCTTCTTTGCTGAAGGGAGGTGACCCCACCTCACTGAACAACTATGGAGCAATCTCTAAACTCTGCATTTTAGCCAAGGTTCTAGAAAAACTGATAAACTCTCAAATCAAAAATGACCTGGACTCATTTAACATCTTACCTCCACATCAATCTGGTTTCAGGAAACAACACAGCACAACCACTGCTTCACTGAAGGTTCTTAATGATGTTGTTGAAGCTCTGGATGCTAAAGATTATTGTGCTGCACTTTTCTTAGACCTGTCTAAAGATTCTGACTCTGTGGATCAGAACATCTTGTGTCATAAACTCTCAGAAATCGGTTTCTCAGAACACACCATTGGTTGGTTCTCTAACTATCTCTCAGACCGGAGGCAATGTGTTCAACATAATGGTACTTCCTCCAGTTATTTAACAGTCAACAATGGTGTACCACAAGGCTCAGTCTTAGGACCCACCCTCTTTACAATCTACATACATAATGTAGGTAAAAACATCCCTAATGCATCCATACATTTCTATGCTGATGACACAGTTGTTTATTGTCGAGCTAAAACAGTTGCTAAGGCTTTCCAGCTTCTGAAATCTGCATTCAACATCATCCAGACAGATTTGTTTCACCTCAAACTTGTCCTAAATGTCGAAAAAACCAAAGGGATGTTTTTTTCAAATAGGAAGTTGGTCCCAGCAGTTCTTCCTCTGATTTTATCCTCAAATGGTGTCCCCATTGAGTTTGTTGATTCCTATAAATATTTGTGTATCTTGGTCGACTCACATCTCTCTTTTAAGCTCCATGTGGAAAACTTGGTAAAGAAACTGAAAGTTAAACTGGGTTTCTTTTTCAGAAACAGATCCTGTCTAACCCTGAATGTTAGGAAACACCTTGTATCTGTGACTTTCCTTCCCTCAATTGATTACGGTGACATTATTTACATGAACGTTCCTACAAGAACCCTGCAGATGTTGGATGCTGTCTATCATGGTGCACTAAGATTCATAACTGGCTGTAACTATCGTACCCACCACTGCACCCAGTATCCACTGGTTAACTGGACATCATTAACTTCATGCAGACTCTCCCACTGGTACATCTTCATCTTTAAATCACTTCCTGGTCTGCTGCCTTCATACATCTCCTCCTACATGTCTCTGCGTGAGTGCAGCTACAGCGTGCGCTCTCAGGACATCATTACCTGCAGTGTTCCCTCAGTGAGGACTGAACTAGACAAAAGGACCTTCTCCTACTCCGCTCCTGTTTCCTGGAATATCTTACAAAAAGATCTGAAGCTCTCGACCTTTGACCTCTCTAAGTGGCTTTAAGAATCTGTTGGACTCCTGGCAGGGACCGATGCAGACATGTTCCTGTTTTTAGTTTTATACATTTGTCTTGGAATCTAGCTGTTTTTTTTTTTTTTTTGTTACCTTTTCCCTTTTAGCCATCCTATTTGTTAAAAACAAACAAACAAAAAAAACTAGTATGAGTTTTTATAACTGCTTATTGTTGTTGCTGTTGTCCATTGTTGTCATCTTTCTTTGTTGAAATCAGGTCTCTCTTGTAAATGAGTCCTCGAGGCTCAATGGGATTTACCTGTAGAAATAAAGGTTGATTGATAATGATGTCCTGAGAGCGCACGCTGTAGCTGCACTCACACAGAGACATGTAGGAGGAGATGTATGAAAGTAACTAATGATATTCTCATGGCCTCAGACAATGGACTTGTGTCTCTACTGGTCCTGTTAGACCTCAGTGCTGCATTTGATACAGTTGATCACAATATTTTACTACAGAGGCTTGAATATGATGTTGGGATTACAGGAACAGCTCTAAAATGGTTTAAATCATATCTATCTGATAGATTCCAGTTTGTAAATGTAAATAATAAATCTTCTTCATACACCAAAGTTAGTCATGGAGTTCCTCAGGGCTCAGTACTTGGGCCAATACTCTTTACTTTATATATGCTTCCATTAGGTAAAGTTATTAAACAGCATGGGATACATATTCATTGTTATGCTGATGACACACAATTATATTTGTCCATTAAACCCAATGAATCCAATCAGCTACTCAGACTACAAGCATGTCTTAAAGACATAAAAACCTGGATGACCCTTAATTTTCTCCTGTTGAACAGACAAGACTGAGGTTTTGGTTTTTGGACCTGAGCACCTTAGGAATGAATGTTTCAGTCTTTCTCCCTCCTTAGATGCATTAATCTGTCCTCCAGCTCTAATGTTAAAAATCTTGGTGTTATTTTTGATCAGGACATGTCTTTTATCCCCCACATTAAAAACGTTACTAGAACCTCCTTCTTCCACCTGCGTAATATCACTAACATTAGAAACATCTGATCTAAAGATGATGCAGAAAAACTGGTCCATGCATTTGTCACGTCTAGACTGGACTATTGCAATGGTTTATTATCTGGGTGTCCAAATACTTCTTTAAAACATCTTCAGTTGATCCAACATGCTGCTGCCAGAGTCTTAACTGGAGTTACTGGGAGAGATCATATCTCTCCAGTTTTAGCTTCTCTCCATTGGCTCCCTGTCAAATCCTGAATAGAATTCAAAATCTTACTTCTAACCTACAAAGCTCTCAACAACCTAGCTCCATCTTATATTACAGATCTTATTGTTCCATATTTTCTTAACAGAGCACTATGCTCTCAGACTGCAGGTTTACTTGTGGTTCCTAGAGTTTACAAAAACAGAATGGGAGGCAGATCTTTCAGTTCTCAGGCTCCTCTCTTGTGGAACCAACTTCCAGTTTCTGTCTGTGAGGCTGACACATTATCCAGTTTTAAAACTGGGATTAAGACTTTCCTTCTTGATAAATCCTATAGTTAGGGTCGACTTGGGTTTCCTGAGCTGTCCCTTAGTTCTGCTGCTATAGGCTTAGACTGCTGGAAGACAAACTGACCACACTTTTAACTCTGCTGCTGTCTTTACTTACTCTGCTCAACCTGGTTTGTATTTGTAATTATTTTTTATATCCTTAACATGTTTTTGTTTCAGTAGGCGCTACAGGTACACCTACATCTGCATCTACACCTGCACCTACACCTGCATCTACACCTACACCTGCATCTACACCTACATCTGCACCTGCATCTGCACCTACACCTGCATCTACACCTGCACCTGCATCTACACCTGCA